TTTGTGCCTATAAAATGGCTTGTGCTTGTACTTGAGCATCGATACATCCAAGCCAAGAATAAGGAAGCATTTCTTGAAAGTCTCTTCCTGTGTTCCTCTCCGATCTTTCCTCCCAAATCTTTATTTCCAATAAAGTGGTATCAAAGCTGACTTTCCAGAGATGAATAGCACTTTTCCCTTTGTAGTTCCCAAACTTACAAAGGAGAATTATGGACATTGGTGTATCCGCATGAAGGCATTGCTTGGCTCACAAGAAGCATGGGAGGTTGTTGAGAAAGGCTATGATGAACCAGAGAATGAAGGAGTCTTGAATCAAAATCAGAAGAATGCTTTGTAGAAGCTTCGAAAGCAAGATCAACATGCCCTCTCTATCATACACATGGGCTTGGATGAAGCTCTGTTTGAGAAAGTTGCTACTGCAACAAAGGCTAAGGAAGCCTGGGGGATTCTTGAGAATAATTTGAAAGGAATTGACAAAGTGAAGAAGGTTCACCTTCAGACTCTTCGTAGTGAGTTTGAATCTCTACATATGAAGGAGTCTGAATCTGTTTTCGACTATTTCACTAGAGTGTCTTCCATTGTCAATCAAATGAAGCGTTATAGAGAGAAGATTGAAGATGTACGTGTTGTGGAGAAGATTCTCAGGTCACTTGACTCAAAACTTGAGTTTGTGAGTGTTGCCATTGAAGAATCAAATGACCTGGATTCCATGACCCTCGATCAACTCATGGGGTCCTTGCAAGCATATGAAGAAAGACTTAAAAAGAAGCAAGAACCGGTGGCCCAAGTTCTCCAAACTAAGGTCTCTTTGAAAGAACAAGAGCAAGAGCATGGACGGTCTCAAGGAAAAGGTCAAAGTCGAGGTCAAGGCTGAGGTCGTGGTCGTGGTCGTGGTCGAGGAGGAAATTTTGGTCGTGGCCAAGGAAGAGGAAGAAATGAAGGTGGCCAAAATTTTAACAATGAAGGGTCGAGCAATCAACCACGAGGACATGGAAATTATGGTTCAAAGAGAGGAAGCAGAAGAAGGTATGACAAGTTCAATATTCAATGTTATGCTTGTCACAAATATGGCCATTATGCTAATGAATGTAGAAGTTCCTCCACCAACAATGAGGAGAGGGCTAATTATGTTGAAGCAAAAGAAGAAGAAGAATTGTTGCTGTTGATGGCAACTAAAGAAGAAAGAGATACCGGAGCATGGTACCTTGACACGAGTGCCGCTAATCACATGAGTGGCAACAAAGAGTTGTTCTCAACTCTTAATGAGGCAATGAAAGGCAACATTATATTTGGAGATGATACCAAAATCCCAATCAAAGGCAAAGGTGATGTTCTCATCCGTTCGAAAAATGGAAGTCACCTTTTAATTACTCAAGTTTATTATGTGCCTACTTTGAAATCTAATATTTTGAGCTTGGGACAATTACTTGAGATGGGGTATGACATTCATTTGAAGGATGGTTGCCTTACTTTGAGAGATGGTTCACACAACTTGGTTGCGAAGGTGCCTATGGAGAAGAATAGAATGTTTTTGCTCAATGTTCACATGGATCATCCAAGAAGCTTGAAGACTTGTGTTGAAGAAGCTTCTTGGCTTTGGCACTTGAGATTGGGTCACTTGAACTTTGGTGGCTTGAAGGCTTTAGTAAGTGAAGAGATGGTGAATGGGTTGCCCAAAGTTAATCACCCCAACCAACTCTGTGAAGGATGTCTTTTTGGCAAGCAAGCTAGAAAAAGCTTTCCAAAGGAGGCCACTTTTAGAGCAACCAAGCCACTCCAACTGGTTCATGTGGATGTGTGCGGACCAATCAAACCATCATCATATGGTAAAGCTAATTATTTCTTGCTCTTCATTGATGATTTTTCTCGCAAGACTTGGGTTTTTTTTTTTTTAAGGCAAAAAGTGAAGTTTTTGGAGCATTCCAAAAATTCAAAGCTCTTGTCAAGAAGGAGAGTGGTTACTCTATCAAAGGCTTAAGGACTAATCGAGGAGGAGAATTCACTTCCAAGGAATTTCAAAATTTCTGTGAAAATAATGGAATTCGTCATTTCCTCACTGTTCCGAGGTCCCCGCAACAGAATGGCGTCGTCAAGCGAAAGAATAGAACCATTCTTAACATGGTTCGAAGCATGCTTAGGAGCAAGAATATGCCCAAGGAATTCTGGGCAGAAGCAGTGGCATGTGCTGTGTATTTGTCTAATCTTTCTCCCTCAGAAAGTGTTCAAGGTATGACACTGTAAGAAGCTTGGAGTGGTAAGAAGCCTAATGTTTCTCACCTTCGTGTTTTTGGAAGTATTGCTTTTATTCATGTTCCAGATGAGAAGAGATCCAAGCTTGATGGAAAAAGTGAGAAATTTGTCTTCATCGGCTATGATTCAAGCTCCAAAGGCTACAAGTTCTACAATCCATCCAATGGGAAGATCGTAATCAGTAGAGATGCTGAGTTTGATGAAGGAAGCTTATGGGATTGGAATGTCTCTCAAAATGATGAATATGTCATCTTTGCTTTGTAAGAAGGAGAATCCAGACAAGACACAAGGCAAGATGTTGCTACTCCACCTCAATCTCCTCATGGATCTCGATCACCTGACGATTGTTCTTTTGAAGGGCCACTACGTACAAAAAATCTTGCTGATATTTATGAAGAAACAGAGGTGGTTGATAATCCAAGTTTCTTTTGTCTCTTTGCTGACATCGAACCGTTAAATTTTGAAAAGGCAACAGTAGACAAGAAATGGAAGCATGCAATGGATGAAGAGATTAAAGCAATCCAAAAGAATGGCACATGGGAGCTGGTGACTCTTCTGAAAGGGCAAAAGGCAATTGGCGTGAAGTGGGTGTACAAAGTGAAGAAAAATGCTCAAGGGAAAGTGGAGAAATATAAGGCAAGGTTTGTTGCAAAGGGTTATATCCAAGAATATGGCATTGACTATGATGAGGTTTTTGCCCCTGTTGCTCGCTTGGAAACCATTCAGTTGATTATCTCCTTGGCAGCTCAAAACAACTGGAAAATTTATCAAATGGACGTTAAGTTCACTTTCTTGAATGGCTATCTTGAAGAGGAAGTGTATGTTCAACAGCCATTGGGATATGTTGTCAAGGGACATGAAGACAAAGTCTTGAAATTGAAGAAGGCATTGTATGGCTTGAAGCAAGCGCCAAGGGCATGGTATAGCCACATTGACAAATATTTCCAAGACCATGGCTTCACCAAATGTCCACATGAACATGCTCTTTATGTCAAAGAAGACAAAACTGGAGGCTTTACGCTAGTGTGCTTGTACGTTGATGACTTGATCTTCACCAGCAATAATGCAAACATGTTTGAAGAATTTAAGAAGGCAATGACTCAAGAATTTGAGATGACCGACATTGGCCTCATGTGCTACTACCTTGGAATTGAGGTAAAGCAAAATGAAGATGGGATTTTTATTTCTCAAGAAGCTTATGCAAAGAAAGTTCTGGAGAAATTTGAAATGGCAAATTGCAAGCTGGTAAGCACCCCCATTGCTTGTGGAACTCGATTGTCGAAGTACGATGAAAGTACAAAGGTGGATCCCTCTCTGTATAGAAGCCTTGTTGGAAATCTGAGATATTTGACTTGCACACGGCCAGACATTCTCTATGGTGTTGGTCTTATGAGTCGATACATGGAGGCACCTACTTCAACATACATGAAGATGGCCAAGAGAGTACTTCGATACATCAAAGGTACTGTTGATTATGGCCTAACTTATTCTTTTTCCACAAATTTCCAACTCTATGGCTACAGTGATAATGACTGGGGTGGTGATGTTGATGATCGAAAAAGCACCACTGGTTTTCTATTTTTCTTGGGTGACACTGCTTTCACTTGGTGTTCAAAAAAGCAACCCATTATAACTCTCTCTACTTGTGAAGTTGAATTTGTTTCTGCTGCAGCATGTGTCTGTCATGCAATTTGGCTAAGGAAGTTGTTGGAGATGCTGCGCATACCTCAAGATGAAGCTACAATCATTTACATAGATAACAAGTCAACTATTGCTTTGGGAAAGAATCCAATGTTTCATGATCGAAGCAAGCATATAGACACTGGATATCACTTCATAAGGGAGTGCATTGAGAGGAAAGATGTAAAGCTTGCCTATGTGAAGACTAACGTTCAAATTGCAGATATTTTCACTAAGGCACTGAAATTTGAAGATTTTGCAAGACTGCGTGCTTGGATTGGAGTGACTAAAGGTGATCAAGTTTAAGAGGGGATGTTGGAAAAATAAACTTGATTTATTAATCTCCTATTTTTAGTCATGTACCTGCATAGTTCATGTGTCAGCATAGTTCATGTACCCATTTATTTTATCTTTACAGTTTCTAGGAGTTGCATTTAACTGTTTTGGGTTTGGAGTGTTTTGTGCCTATAAAATGGCTTGTGCTTGTACTTGAGCATCGATACATCCAAGCCAAGAATAAGGAAGCATATCTAGAAAGTCTCTTCCTGTGTTCCTCTCTAGTCTTTCCTCCCAAATCTTTATTTCCAACACAAACATGGGTGTTTGTGGACCCTTGTCCAGTGTCAACCTTAAATTCACGTCATCTGGCTTCAGACTGAGCTCTTCAGCCTTCTGAGCAATCGGCGAAACATTTGCAGGGGCAAGTTGCATCTCTTGTTTGATGGTAAGGATGTTGGCTGCAACGACCCCCACATTGACATTATTGTCTGCAACTCCCCCGTTGACATTACTGCTCGGAAATATTGGCACCTGCTGCTCTCCAAGGTCATGAAACAAAGCAGGAAGTGGCTTGCTCCTTCTCTCGATCTCAATCCGATACCAGATTCCCGCTTCGTCTTTTTCCCTGAAGATTGTGAGTACATCACCGACCTCCAACTGATTTTTGCAGACAAAGGGTATCCAACCCTTAGCCCCTGTTTGGATTGGAGGTGTGGGACAAAGAGAGAGGGGAAGGGATGGGGATGGATGAGAAGGGAGAAGGAGTGAGGGGGAGTGAGGGGAGGTTGTCTCCTTCCTTCTGTTTGGGTTTCCAAAGAGACAGAAGGGGAGAGAGATTGACAGATTCGGACTCCCTTCAACCACTCTCAACTCTGTAGATTTGCAATCCTCCCAATTTGGGGGATTTGGGAGGGATTTCAGGAGCTGTTTAGATTAAGTTAGAGATAATTATAAAATTAACCTTAATTTATCTATTATCATAACCCTCTCTGCCCAAGTCTTGGACTCCAAATACAGCTTTGAGACCGTCCGGCCACTAGCCCCATGTCCAGCCTCTTTGCGGGGTCCTCCTCCACACACTCCAATGCCAACTCCACCATCTTCTCCACCACTTCCAACAGATACGAGTCTTTCAGCATTTTGTCCACCCACTTCCTCACCCCTCCAACTCCATACGCCACTACCTCCTTCGCCGAGTCTATAACACTCTGCCTGCTATACCCACCGCTCTCTTCGTCAACCACGTATCTCAAGGATTCCTGTCCGCTCAACAACTCCAGCAACACTACACCGAATGCGTACACGTCGCACTTCTGCGTCACCATGCCGCTAAATTGAAGCTCCGGTGCCATATACCCTCTCGTTCCTTCAATCCTCATCACTTTGCTGCCCGTCCTCACAAGGGATTTTGCATTGGAATCGGTTTTGTTGGTTTTCGTCACTTCCCCACAAAGCTCCGCCGTGCCAAAATGACAAATTTTGGCATTGAAAGAATCCTCGGCGATTATGATGCTTGTGCTCTTGATATGGTTGTGGGTAAAGCCCGTCTCTAGACCAGAGCAATGGTGGATGTAATCGAGGCCGTGCGCAAGGTCTGCTGCGATTTGCATTCAAGAGACCCATTTAGAAAGAACAGTATTTCCTTCCGTATATTTTTAAATTATATTGTAATAAAATTATTTGCTTTTTATTTTTAGAATAATTTTTTACTAATTGTTTCATTTAATATTTTTTTGTTAAATTTTTAATTTTATGTTTTTTTAATTAATAATTTTTTTCTTTTAATTTGTATTTATCAATTTTTTAATCCAAAATCACATTATGATCCAAAAAAAAAATATGGTAAGGTACTGGATTTCTCTTGTGATTGCTTTCGGTGGATAATGGAATAATTTAATGAATTGAACAAATGGTAGCAAGCAAAAATGTATAGGTAACTCCATTACAAACTTAAAGGGGGTAAATTTGTAAATTTAAAATTAATTTAAATAATTTCCTTTCTTCCCTTCTTTTTATCTTAATTATCCAAATGTAAAATAATACGATCCTTCCCTTTCCTTTCCCTTTCTCATTTTTATTTATCCAAACAAAATTAACACAAATCATTTCCTTCCATTTTCTTCCCTTTCCTTTCTTTTCCTCCCTCTCCAATTCCTTCTATTTTCCCCCATTCCCCTCCCTTTCCTTCCCTTTACTATTTTCTATCCAAACAAGGTGTTAGAGATTACAGGTTTTTTGTAACCGTGTGCGAGTGGATATGACCATAGGCCAAATGATTGGGCCTTGCCAAAAGTTCACAGACACGAAATG